GTGTCATGTCTGTGCAAGTCATCGGGAACGGTGACCATTCCGGGTACTCATTGCCGCCATCTTACAACCGTGAGATGGGCAAGCACATCAATTGGCTGGCAGAGCGTGGCATTCAATGTGTGAATTCCACTATGCTCGCTCAGGGTGGGAAATACGACAACTACCACCTGCACGACCACCAATTTAACCGGAAACTGGTTTATCGTTTCTTGAGAGGAGCCATCACCTTCCACCTCAAATACGTTGAGCTCATGTCGAAGCAGGACGATCTCAGGTACTTTGTGAAGGAGTTCATCAGCAACGAACAAGACCGTGTGGCCGCGGTCCATCTCTTCCCCACGATGGTTCAGTTTCGTTTGGCTTTGCTCGGCACTCAAGAAGTCATGGAAGCCGTCTCCACCGAGAAGAAAACGGCAACCCCTGCCCAGGTCTTCGACGAGGCAGATGAGGAGATTCTCATGTGGGTCCATGCAGGAATTCTTGAGGCCAACGAGGAAGCCACCCGGGAGGGAAGGCCGATGCCCACTGCTTTCACTGATGAAGAGATCAGCTCAATCGTCCCAATTGACCCTTCGATCGAGGACTATGAAACCGAAGAGTTCAGGGCCCGACAATACCTTCAAGAAGATCTGAATCAGGCCGCTGCTGATGGTTTCTCAACCACAACCATTGAGTCGATCGAGATCAATCCGGAGAACACTGATGTCGAAGATGATGTTGAGGTTGTTCCCGAGTTTGATGAATGGGACGTGATCCTGGACGAGAAGATCATTGTCAACCCCCATGATGAGAAGGTCAAGGAAGATGAAATCTCGGAGGACAGAGCCAAGGAGGTTGCGGATCTCAACAAGATCATCGAGATCACATCCACTGAGGCAAAGCCTTCGGGAACGTCGGCCGATGACCCTGCTGCTGCAAAAGATGCACCTGCCAAGGTTGACCAAGGGGGAGAAGACATGACTTCATCGAGGATTTCAACATGGAGCGTGGTTGGTGGTGATGAATCCAAGCCCAGCGACATGACTTCTTCCAGGATCTCAACATGGACCGAGGCTGGTGGATCTGAAGCCACTGCCATGGACATTGACTCTGAGAAGAAGGAAGGTGCTGATGCTGCCCGGAAGGGTGTGCCAACTGACACTGCGGTTCCTGAGGCTTCTGCTTCTTCCGAACAGCCTGCTGACAAGACTGCCATTGTCGACCTGACCAAGACCGAGAAGAAGGTGGAGGTTGACAAGCCAGTTGGAAAGCCGGCCGAAAAGAAAATGCCGAAGAGTGAAAAGCAAAAGGCACCAGAGTCCAAAGCGCAGCCCAGACAGAAAGCGCCGCGACTCAGTGTCGAAGCTGATGCAGCCCTTCGCAAGTTGGAAGAAGCAACGGAACGCCAAGAGGGATCAGTATGGTTGGACCCCAATGACATGATCAACAGGATCCCCAAGGAGTATTGCGGCCAAGGGCGACTGAGATTTCTTTCCACAAAGTTGTCTTATGTTCTCCGTGGACACGCATTGAGCTATGGTGCTCGCAGCCCAGACATCGATCCCATGGATCTTTCGATGGATTTCGAGGCGGTGATGAAGACGATGGCCCACTACGTCTCCTACCCGAAGATCAGTGAGGTCCTGTCCATTGTGCGCAACAGTGACACCAGGCGCTTCCAGGTGAAAGTGGCCCAGCCTGATTTGCCTGAAGCAACCTGGAAGGGTTTGCCATGGAAGGTTGTCGCCATCAGAGCAGTCCAAGGACACAACCGCGCAGTGGTGGAAAATGCCAAGATTTCATCACTGGTGAAGGAAGTGTTTACTCTGGATCCAACCTTCTCCAAGGCCGACCTCGACACGCCCAAGTTGCCAAGGACAAACCTTCGTCCAGACCTTGTGCCGGAATTGATGGCTGCACTCCCAAGGGTTATCTACCATAGCTGCGACAGGCTCGCTATGGAAAAGATAGTTGAACATGGTCTCATCCCAGGTGGCTGGCCCCAAAGAACAGGAAGGGCGCATAATTTCTTTATTGCGTCACATCCATGGGATGATTCAGTCGGTGACAGAAAGCTCGCGGGAACGCGAGCCGGGAAGCAATATTACATTGCCTTTGACACCGAGCTCATCGTCCAAAGCGGCTGCCGATTGTTTCGCACAGACGAAGCAATCATAAGCCCTGACTGGATCTCCAACGAGAACATCATTTGCACATATGATGCTGTCAACCGGGAGTTTGCCTGGGTGAATCGCCCCTATGAGATCACACGTGTGGGGTACAACAGCAAAATGAAGACCCACAAGGACCAGGACACTCCGAAGAAAGAAGCCTTGTCCAAGAGCCCGTATGCCAACGCCAGGGACAGTCTGAAGGCCTACCTCATGAGCGGCAAGTCCATTCGACCAGGCCAGATGCAGATGACCGACTCTCCGGAAGAGCTTCCCCCACTTCTTCGTCGACGTGAAGGAACTTCAGGACCCTTTGAAGACAAGGTGACGTTGAAGATGGCCTCCTTTGGTGCTTTGTCCAATGCTGAAACCATCCGCAAGGGCAAGGGCCGGGGAAAAGGCAAGGGAAAAGGAAGCCGCCCGGGAGGGCTGGCCCAGCGCTCAACAAATGCTGAGGATTACATCTACAGCTCAAAGATTGAGATGCAGCAGGTCAGATGCCACTTCTGCGGTGAACAGAACATTGAGGGCACCCACAAGTGTCAGTCGTGCTTCAAATGGCTGATTGCTTGGTCGGATGGAAGAATTGCGACAGAGGTATGCCGGATGGAAATCTCGGCCAAGAAAACTAATAAGGTGTTTTCCCTGGACAAGATCGATTTTGAGAAGCAGCCACGTGCTCAGCGAGTTTCTGACCGCACCCGAGCAGATCAACGTCGAGCTGGACGAAGTAACTTCGGAAATCTCAAGGACGCTGCTCAGACACATGCGGGAAGATACACAAAGCTCGGCTTCAAATCGATCCAGGACCGCATGGAGAAGGACCCATTTTATTTGTTCAACAATGCGGTTGGCCAGATAACCCCTGACTGTTGTCAGTTTTTGGAGGATCTGGCAAAATGCATTGCCCCTGATGTTGGCCGTACCCGAGAGAAGCGAGAAAAGCAGCTGGGAACAGGTGTCAGCACTCGTTTGATTTTTATGCCTGACTTCAACAGAGACATCCGACTCCCGTTGGACGTTACCAAGGAAGCCATGGTTGCACATCACGCACGTGTTTTTACACTCCCACAATTTGCTGTTCTTGCTGCGGACCTACTGAAAGCGAGGGGGGAACCCACGCCGATGTTATTTGGTTGGTCTGGCTCAGTGTTACCTGTGGATCAGGCTTCAGCCCAAGATTGTTTCTTTGACCTCGTCGACTTCGCGAAGAGGCAGTGGAAGGAACAATATAATAACATCAAGGGTGAAGAGCACTCCTTCGTGGATGAAGCCACCGCATCAGATGTGGCTGAGTTTCCATTGGCAAGGTCCTCCAAGACGGGTACTGGCGAAGGGCGAGAGGGATACCGGCGTCATTTTGACCCGATTCAGAAGCCAGCCAAGGGCAAAGGAAAGGGATATGGTCAGCAACAGCGCCCAATCTTTCAGCAGGCCATTGAGTGCTGGAAGTGCGGTCAGTATGGCCACAAATCCTTTGAGTGCCGCAGTGGATGGAACCGAGGGCAACAGTGGGGTTCGTATGGATCTTACTCAAGCCGCTCGGGAGGGCAGGCCCAATGGCAAAGCTGGAATTGGAATCAGGGCTACTCTGGCCGAGGTTGGACTGCTGATCCTTGGGGAAGATCTTCAGCATCAAGCTCCTCGGCAGCTCCTCCGGAGCCAGTGCGGCCACCATCAACAGCGACGCCTGTGCCTGACACAACACCAGCTGCTGGCGATCCTGCCCAAGCTGCCTCTGGATCAGCTCCTGCAGCAGAGCCTCCACAGCAAGTGCCGAGGATGCCGCTCGTGATTGCTGAGGAGTACTGCGAGATCAACGGCCAACCGCACTTCAAGCGCACCTACAATGATGGGACGGTAGAGTTTGAATCTTGGTAGATGTTTCACATCTTGTGCCATGATTTTATGCCTACCGGAAGGTTTGGCCGATTGGATGAAAGCTGACCCATGGTCATTCAGTTCAATCGAAATGCACACGTCATCAAAACTTGAAATTACAACTCGATTAACTTGAAAAATGTTTCCCAATTGATTCATAGAAAATGACACCAGCATCCGATCCACTGCAGTAGCTTGCGTGTACAATAGCCGTGTACATAGGCCTGTTACAGAAGTTTCCATTTGCCATCGCATTGAAAGGAGTGGTAATGCTCCTATGCCTTGGCGGAAGCCAGGCCAATGTCACTTTTGCTTTGCTCTACACGCCGAACGCCAAGGATCGTAAAACCTTTTGCCATTGCCTCATGCACCCGTTGAGCTAAGACCCCATCGCACTTTTGTAGTTAGGTTGACAGTGAGAATTTGCCTGGTTCGCTCTCAGGTCATTTCTGGCGAACCTCACCGTTCCGTCCTCCGTGAATACTGCGGGGCGGCGGGGGGTGTTTTTGGTATGTCTCACTTGTATACTAAAGTTTTCACCCCTTACTACGCTGTGCTTATGGCTCAAGCAAAACAATTGCGCTAGCTGGTGCTTTCAGGTTGATTCACCTGTAAAACAAACACACACTGGTATGGGCTTGAAGATGTACGAATATAAGTTTAAACCATTGGGAATTTAGGCAAAAATAGGAAGGTCAACGGGTTAGCTCTTGGCCAGGAATGAAATCTTTCCGACCATTGGTTTTGGTTTTGGCAGGGAATGTGATGGAATGAGACCTCTAGTGTTTGCCCCATCAGCGGTGATTCTGGAACTTGGTCTCAGGCAGCATTCTGGACCCGCGGTGGTACTGCATAAAGATCAATGATCAATTCACCATTTTCATAATTTTTCATAGGTGAAATCAGTGAAATATGGTGAACATTTTGAAATTTTGGCTGAAAATCCCCATGCCGATGCCTTTTGCCAAGGAGCAAAAGGCGGAGATCAAGGAGGCCTTCGACCTCTTCGACACTGACGGCACCGGGACCATTGAGGTGAGCTTGGACGAAGCAACAGGGATAACACGATGGAAAGGTTTATATATTTGGACTGGTGAAAAAGCGTGACATGCGTTAGTTGATGGTTTCAACATTATGTAATATTATACAACATTATATAATACTGTATTATATAACATTTTTAAACAGGATTCTTCACCCAACAAATGGGAGGATCATCGCAAGTGCGCCTTCATCCTTTTGGGGACGGGTGGCGCAACCATCACCCAGAGACAGCTTCCCCCAGCGGCCAAGCGACGCCAGGCGAAGGAGCTGAAGGTGGCGTTGAGGGCTTTGGGCTTCGAGCCGAAAAAGGAGGAGCTGAAGAAGTTAGTGTGGCTGGAGCTCATTTTGGTGTGTAACATATGTAACATATCCATGAAATGGTGGTCTGGTGTGTCTGATGTGTCTGATGGCTATTTACTGGATATCAGCTGGCTCACCCCCACAAGATGTCTCTCCTCAACCCCAGAAGATGGGAGATTTCCTTCCAAAGAGCCGCGATAGCATGTGAGAGTCAAACCAACAAAAAATGTGAGTGGAACACAACGGGTCATCGGAATATATATATAATATGTATACGTACTGTATATCATAATATTTTCTCATATGTTTATGCATAAATCAGATACATAGATTGCCTATGTCCAAGAATCAGGAGGAGGATACTGCCAAGCAACTGGTTGAGGTCGATACAGTATGTCGATACAGTATGACCCACAGCTGCTTCACCGTGCATCGCCCAGGTCAGACCTGGACAAGAGTGGTAGTTCCCACGGCCAGGGCATGTTAGACTTCAACGAGTTCTTAGAAATCATGACCGTCCCTGGGCAGGATGTGGGTTTGAGAATAGGCTACCCATGAGTACCCCCAATTCCAGGGCTTTATCATCATTTTCCCATGAAAAGGGCATGGAACTCCTTGGGGTCTCAGGCCAAGATGAGCGAAAAGGACTCCAAGGACTGCCTGCTTGTGACCCAAGGGCTTGACCTATCATGTACTCATTATGGTTGTCATTGTGGTTGTCATCTGAGATTCCCCAATTTGTCGGTTACATCATGTAACATCCCCAATTGTGGTCAACTCCACTATTCTGGTGGAGCAATATCTCCCAGAGAATTGCAAGTCGTTGTCTCAATCTGGGGATGTCCCACTTCCTGGGAATCCCATGGTTTGTGCTCCGGCAATTCAGCTGGAAATGGACAACTCCATCATACCCCTCATGTAAATCCAGATAATTTCCTACCACCAGGCTGCAGTCAGGATTGCACTCCAATTAGCAAGATTCAAAGTAATCAAGTCTACTTTGACTTTCAAGCATTGATCGTAGATGATTGCAGGATGATGGGTCCTACCCCAAAAAAACAGATTTTATGATTTTCTACCCTGATTTCAGGAGCAGATTCTCAAGGCGTTTCAGCTCTTCAAAGGACCCACGGGCAAGATCTCTTTCGAGGACTGTCCAGGGATCATCTATTTATTTCATATCCAACTCATGCTGTTGTCAAGATACATACACTTTACATTACATCACATCACATTCCATGCAATACATTACACATGACATTACATGACATTACATTACACACACAGAGATAGATTCAATGGATGGATGGATGGATGGATGGATGGATCGATCGATGGATCGATGGATCGATCGATATACCTGCACGTATGTATATAAGTTAAGTTATACACACACACATATATATATACATATATGTTCAAGTGCACAGGCACCACATTCCCATCCCACAGGACCTGAAGGCCGTGGCGCGCGAGTTGGGCGAAAACATGTCCGACGAAGAGCTGCAGGAGATGATCCGTGAAGCCGACAAGGCGCCGGGCGGCTGTGGTAAGTCGCCGATTCCTGAGGTTATCGGGTTATAAGTGGGTTATAAGCCCAGATGGTGGGTTATAACCCAACTGGGCTATTTGTAAGATTTTTGTTGGGTAAGCCCAGCTAAGCAGTTACTGGGATGACCCTCCCAAGTAGCGGTGCGCGCTGAGGGTTGGGCTTGGGGTTGCCAGGACGATGATGGCGAAGTGAGTGAGGAAGCCACTTCATCGCATGTTGCAATGTCGAGGTTGAGCGGTTTCCCCAAAAATGATGGCATGTGACTCGCAAAAGCTCAGGTAAATTGGTTGTACCGGGTGTGTCTGGAGACGTTTCCGGTACCGTTGCGAAGAAAACTGTGGAGGGCTGTGCTACATTGCCACATAGAGATAAATAGCTGACCATGTGTGTGTGTGTAGATTTAAGAAAAGGGTATTTAATCAATGAATCCACAGGCAGACAGATGATCTGAAGAAATGAATCACCAGTTTCTGTTGTGGCAGGGTCGCCCCAGCAATGGCCGCTGAAATGCTCAGGAATTCATGCGGATCATCCGGCGTTCCACGCTTTGATTGTCTTGGCCGGCCAGAACCAGGATGGGTTGGGAGGGGTTGGGAGGGCTTAGATCACAGATTTGAACAAAAGTCCCTGGAAAGCATCACATTGGCAGGTTAAGGCAGATGTTATCACAGTGAGAGAGTTTCAGCAGCTCAAGAAGGGGCTGTAGGCTGAATTTGACCTTTGCAGAATTGCAGCAAAATATCCATCTGGATTCGTTGCATGTGTGTGCCGCTAGCCTGGCGCCGTTTCACGATGCTGCACAGATGCGCAAACGAACGTCGTGAAAAGGTTCAAGTTGGTAAGGATGCCTTGCCGAACTCACTTGCTTCCTAGCAAATGCCACATTTCCAGCGGTCTGGTGAGTGCATCCAAGTCACCCAATCAAGCAAGCCAGGTTTTTTGAGGGGGGGAACGACACTTCTCAGATGTGTAGCTGCTGGGGCGGCAGACATTGGGGCCACTAGCTGAATTTGGATGTTGCTTGAGCCCTTTCGGATCAAGCATTGAGTCTGGGACCATGGAGTATGTGATCAGTTTCTCCTTGCAACCAGAGGCTTGGGGCACATCCAGGATCCACTACACCACGGAGGGGCAAAGGTCGTAGAGCTCGGTCATTTTAAGACAAAGAACGAGGCCATTGCACGGTGGCATCATGGGAGCACCTTAGAATCCTTGACAGATCTCTATGTTCATTTTCGCTTCAGTCATTTTCAGCCACAATCTTGCCATCAGCGCAGTGAACTCAACATCAAAAGCTCAGAGCGGGGCGCCATGGAGAAGGCTGGCAAGGGAAGCTGCAGCTACAATGGTGGCTAGTCACCAGTGGGCTTCTCCAATTTCTTTTGATTGGTTTGGACTAGGATTCCAACAAATGACTCGTTATCATTGACCCAACCAGATCTGGTTGGTTCCATTACTCAAGATCAACTCCTGACATTTTTCAGCTCCCAAATGGCGATTTCCGTGTCGCCTTGGTCCCGAGGTCGCCACGGCCTGGCCGTTTCGGAGCTGCCTCCGGAGGCGCTGAACGACGACTACTGCGACTGCCGCGACGGCGCCGATGAGCCGCGCACCGCGGCGTGTGGCCAGGGCCGCTTTCGCTGCGAGAACGCCGGCAGCATTCCGAGGAGCATCGCCAGTTCCATGGTGAAGGATGGCGTGCAGGAGAGGATGGCAGATTTTTTTGCTTGAGTTGAGAGTTTGGGGTTTGGGGGTGGGATTTGGGGGAGGATATATGGATAGCAACCCAAAAAAACAAATGTCATGCCCAGGTATGCCCCAGATCTCTTGAGGAAAACCAGTTTCGCTTCGCCAGGACTGCTGCGACGCCTCGGACGAGGGCGAAGCTCTCGACCTGGACTGCAGGGAGGAGCTCCTGAAGGTGGCAGGGCGCATCGGTGAACTGCTGCTGATGGAGCAGAAAGGTGAAGCATTGAAACGGCAGATGCTGGAGACTTCTGGGTAGGGTGGGTATTTGTGATTATTTGTGGCTGGAAGGGGCCAGATGTGGGTATCTACATGTATATACTACCTTTCTTTGCATTTTCATTTTGTGGCAATCGGGCTTCCACTAGTCACTATTCCAACGGCGAACTGCTTCAAAGAAAAGGGCTACAAGCCATTCATGGCTGCGCAGGGTGATTGAGAACTACCGTGCCCGCTTCCAGGAGTCCTTAACCCAGCAGGCCGTGTCCGTGAAGGATCGCCTCCTGCGAGCCCAGCAGCTGGCACAGCCCTTTATCGAGGCTTCACAGAAGATCAACGAGAAGCTGCAGGAGGTGCAGAGGAAGCGGGAAAAGATGAGCAAGCGCCTTGGAGATGCTGGTTTTGGGACAGAAATGTGTTTGTAAATCATTGGGGATCATGGGGTTTAATTGCAACATTTTGTATGGCAAGAAGTTTTTCGTTATTTATTTGTGGGATATTGTATGGATTTGTATGGGGATATGCTGGGACAATGTTTGGTGGCACCTACCACATTCACAATGTGAATCATTGGATGTAATGGGCTATTTTGTGCCGCTTTCAAAACAAACAAAATAAATCAGAATAATAAGATGGCCCAAACACAGGGAAAAAGGGCTAAAAACCATTGTTCATGAATCAATTGGGAATTAACGGAGATTTTTCACCAAATATCACTTCAACGGTTTCGAGGTTTTCGATTTTCCTATCATCCAAGCCACTGAGACCGTTGGAGCCCAGGAATCCCAAAATGGTCACAGATGCGGAGCTCGCCGGTGCTGGCCGGGTTCAGTTGAGATGTTTTGGCACTGGCGGTGGCGTGGCGATGGATGGGGAATGATGGCCTTGGATGCTGAGCATTTTTATGTGTATGTGACACGTGTACTTTTATATCATATGCAACTGTATTATCTATATACGTATATTATATATATACGTATGTAATCGTATGTATGTATGTGTGTGCGTGTGTGTGTGTATATATATATATACATACACATGTATATGCATACATGGAAATGGCACCTACATTGACCCTCTCCCTTTACATCTTACAGCACGATGTATTAAAAAAGGGGCCCGTGGGGATTTGATTCAGGTGGTGCCAGCGAACGTGGCGGTGGTGATGCAGCTCCAGCCTATGCGGAGTTGGCGGTGAACGCCTCGTGCATTGCGGCCGAGGACGCGGGAGTTGTGCCTTGCTATCCTTCAATGGATTGGGGTGAAGAAAGATATGGAAACCTGAGTTTCTACCCCAAATATGGAGGTTTCCTGCAGATTTTGTATTCACCCAATTCTGGGACTCCTGCCTCACGTAAAGAGGTTGTTCATCTTACTTGAGACAGGCTTGTCATTCTTGACTTCGTTTAAGCCCAACTCGGACCAGAGATAGCTGAGTTATTTGGGAAGCTGTTTGCATGTCTTTGGAGAGACTTTGAACCTTTCCAGGATGGATGACTATAAAGATCTGCTATTCAAGCCAGGTTCCCTTTATCACCCGTTTGAGTAGTATTTGAGGACCCAGATCCGCCAGGAGTGTCACTATGTTTGTTCGTATCTTTGCTCGGATGCCAGGCAGTTCAACGGCAGCTCGGCTGTAGGATTTTACACGTTGGTTTCCTTCACCTCCACTTCACCCAGCGGCCCAGCCAGATGACTTTAAGTCTCAGTTCCTTCTCTCTTCAACGTGGATTTCTATCCAACCCACAGCATTCTCCAAAACTGCAGGTCACCTCCATCCACCCCATTTCTATTCAACTTCATCTTATATATAACATATATACAGATATACATATATCATATAGATACAGATATATGTAGAGGTGATTTTTGGCCCAGGCGTTCTTCTAGAATATCATAGGGTATGCTAATGCTATATGTATTTTTTGTTGTAAGACTATTCTCGCTCCATTTTTCTCCCATCCTCCCCACCTCCTGGTCCCAAGGCACCTGTGCGGTGGCCTCCGGCGGCGCCTTGGTCTACTTTCCCTTCGACCCCGACGCGCTGCGCATGGAGGCGATGCTGGCGCAGTACCGCCAGGCGGAACCGGGGCAGATCGAGGCGAAGGCCGTGGAGCACCTGGTGGTGTTGGAGGTGGCCCCAAGGGGAGAGTGGGGCCATGGGTTGGATGGGGATGGGGACGATTCACCACGGAAAATGGCGAGATTTTGAGGGAAGATGAGGGGTGGAGTCGGAGGGTTGTTTCCGTTTCTGTTCATGCATTTGTGTGAAGGACACGGCTGAAATGTGACATGATCCCTTGAAATGGGCTTGAAACGGGAAAACCAATTTTCAGCTTCACAGCCTGGGCCACCTAGGGGTGGACTATGACAGATGCGAAGTGGTTGGATCTGCGCCAGAAGTTGTCGCGTGTGCATCGGAAATCCGCACAGCTGATGGAGGACCTCAGGGAGGCCAAGACGGAGCCTTGGGATGCGGAAAGTGGAGGAAAACCCAGGTGAATTTGCTCGGAAAATATGTGGAAATGTGTTAGAGAATTTGACGTGATCTTATTTGCAAGAAAAGTCGAAATGTTGGTGGGCTGAATTGGGTTTGGTGCTTTCAACTTTCGAGGGATTTCCTTTCGTTTCCGTCCCAACAATGGAATGATGAGCACGTATTCTTCCAACTGCTTGCTCTTTCACGTGTTTTTGAAGCCGTCGTCGTTTGCGGGCCTACGGATGCTTCAGCACCTATGGCGGGCAAAAAAAATGCCTTAACCGGCTTGGCATTCGGGGAACTTGGAACTTGGCAGGAAACGGGTTGCGGGCATAGTAGCAGATGCTTCGGCACACTGAGGACCAGCAAATGCTGGATCTCATCAAGACCGGGCAGTTGGGTCCTTCAGGACCGATGGCAGTCCAGAGCCATGAGTTTCTTAGATATTGGTTGTTTGCAGACTCCCCCTCTTTGGACCATCCAAGCGCAACCAAAGTACTCGTAGTGCCATGCCATGAACCCATATACAGTAAACCTACAAATTCACACAGCTGGCTGATGGTCATCACTTAATGAACCTGACCCACCAACGCCATCCAACGCCCACAACCCACGCCACACCTGAGAAACAGGAGTCTACCACAATTTGCACGGCCAGTGCTTGAACTTGACGCAGGAGCAGTATGTTGGCACCACTGCCGTGCGTGAGCAGTGGCACACCTTTTTCTACAGCATCCTGGTGCTTAATTAGGTTAGGGGTGCCCGTTTGAACTGGCGGACAGCTAATTATAGAAGTCACTACTGCAATCTAACATTTGGAGGACCCCTGTGATCATGAAACATCAGAGTTTGGGCGAGGCATTTGCTTCTTCAAGTACGTCACCCAGCAAGAGCTGAAACAGGGGCCCGATGCTGCTGCAGCATGCGATGAGTCTGGCAAGTGCTCGCTGGTTGAAGAAGAGGAGGCACAAAAAATCTTTCTGGGACGACCTGCAGGCTTCATGAGCAGCAGCAGCAACCTGAAACTTGCTGACATTTGTAGACTTTGGACGTTTTTTTTTTGGCTGCCGGCAATTTGAAAGCATCCCAAGCTTTGTAGTTTGTCAGCTGACATTTGAGGTCAAAACAGGGCCAGAAACAAACATCCGCCTTTTGAACCGGGGGCCTTGGGGGTTGGAACCTCTTGCAGTCATCAACGTCAGCAAGCATTGCATCTCTTATGTACAAATTTCTTCTCCCATTCAATTTACAGTCCAAGTCGCCAGGTATCCACCAGCCCTTCAAAAATCTTCAAAAAGTGGATCTTTCCCGGTTTTAGCCGCCCTTGGAAAGCCGCCTTCAGGAAACGCTTCGGGCTCCAGGAACTCTTCTTCGAACCCTCGGAGCACACCCTGGTCTTCAGCGGGGGTCAGTCCTGCGGCGCTGTGAACCGCGCCACGGTGGTGCAGTTCAGCTGCGGCTTGGAGCCGCGGGTGAAAGGCCTGGAGGAGGTGAGGACCTGCTGCTACCTGGCAGAGGTGGAACATCCAGGCCAGGCAGTGATGATATGGATCTTACAGTAGGGGATAATTGGGGAATATTGGAGGTGAGGGGACGGTACTTGACTGCATTTGAAGAAGCGAGAAGCGAAAACATGGATATAGTATAGATGGATAGTGTGTTGTGATATAGTCTTTTGGGCTCCCAGATGAAAGTGAAAGTGAAAGTGTATGGGATGGTTTGGTCCAAATTCTCTCTCAAAAAAACGTGTCACAGCGATGGCAGGTGCTTGCGACTTGAAATCTTGGCCGCAAGCCTTGAGGAAGCTGAGTGAGGACCGCGTGGTCGAGGGTGTTGCCCACTGGCTCTTGCAACATGCAGAGGACAGAAGCAGCTTAGTAAATGGAGGAGGTGGGAGGGTGACGATAGCGCTTTTTTGGAAAGGAGGCCAGAAAGTAGGTAGGACCTGTAAACTTGTTTTCCGCACTTGAACATGGTATTTATATGTGTGTATGTTTTATGTTCTTTTATTTTATTTTTAGGAGTTTGTGATACTTATATGGTTGAAGAGCTTCCCTTGTCTTTATAAGCACCAGTTCCACGTGAGAGGCTCGTTCCAACGATTGGCTTTCTATTGGGTTTCTCCCATTTTCATAGCAAAGAGGCATTTGGCTCCTCACGATGCAAACCATCATTAACCTATGCACCCTTTGGTATTTACAGTATCGCAATCAACAATGCTTCGAGGGGAGCATCATCCATGGAATGAAGATGAATCAAGTGGATTTCCAGGAGCTGCAACTGGACGGCCTTCCAGATTGGACGCGGATCTTACGCAGCGCTGCATCGGTGCAGCAGTGGTTGGGCCAAGGGCAGCCAGAGACGCTTGGGATTGGCCAAAGGATTCCTTCCCGGAATTGCAGGGAAAATCTGCAGGAAACCCCAAGGTTGTAAAAATCATGGCTTCCTGTAGATGTTCTGATTATATATACCAATCCATTGATGCGATCTTTTGGAGCAACATGTGGTGCATTGCAGCCCCGGGGTTTACCATGGTTTACCATGTGGCCAACTAGAGCGGGACTTGAGACTCACTCAACATCGGGCAATGCGATGATAAGCGCTAACACATTGCAACAGAAACCAGAGGCATTTTTCAGGATAGGTGGCTGCACAGTTTTGAAACACCAGGCATTTAGGGCACATCCCCCGCCTGTCGTCTCCCACCGACCGGGCCCCATGGGCTGCCGGCACCAAGGAAGGAGGCCTTGGTGACGCTGGACGCGCTGATCGCCACGCTGTCGTCCACCGGCGCCTTGTACCAGGACTCAGTGGCTCTTCTGGTGCCGGAGACTGTGGAAATGGCGCTGGCCACTGGAGAGCAGCTGCAGCGGATGGTGAAGGAGGTGGGGTTGGCAAAGTTGGTTGGGGTTGGGAGGTTCATGGAGGTTCAATATGGGTGGGAAGATATTTTGAGTGCCAATGTTTTCCGTCAGTTTTAGATCCTAAAGTGAGCCAAATCTTTGAGGCCATCAATCATCATCCCTATATCAACAGAATCATAACCATTGAATTCATTGGTGGATGTGTCCCAGAATCGGATTGATGGTACAACTGGTACAACCGTACAACCCCCATGGTTTCCCATAGATTTCCCCTTGAATTCACCCATGAAATGCGGCTGGCCATCCCTGGTGACGAGGCTTGGGCTTCCGCCTGGCCTCTGGCTGCCCAGCTGGACCCCCAGCGCCTGGAGGAGGTTCTGGCGCGGATGGAGGGCGCCCTGCAGCAGCTGCAGGGCTATGGGAGGAGAGGTGTTGAAGGCTGCAAGGAAGGCAAGGATGGGAATGGGATGGGGATATATAGTTTTTTATTTTTTTAAACAGGTTTTCATAGTTTTCAGGGGAGTTCAAAAAAACACCCACCAGCTTTTTTCTTGTAAGATGTTGCTTTTCGGTGTGGGAATGCCGCCCTGAAGACATGGAAAAAGCGCAGCTAGCATGAAAATTGTGGAGCATTAAGAACAGGAATAAAAGACTTTTGAAACTGTAGGAGCAAGCTGTGTTCTCATTTGTCCACTGTTTTGAGCAACACATTTCTCTGCAAAGCTTGTAGGCATCATGTTCATTGGTATTTTGGCAATTTTTTTTAGATCATAAATTCCACGTTCTTGTGGTTTAGACAATGCAAAATCCGCTCTTCGTTGCTAGGAGCACACCTACTTTTCTTGTGCCACTCAACTCCACGTTTTTACTGTTCACAATCTGTCAAATCTTCATTTCTCGGCCCAGTCTCATGAAAACCCCCATTTCGTACAGCACACACACACATGTATATATCTATATCTATATGTATATATATTTTTAATATTTAAATCAATAGATAAATATAAACATATATAAACACACACACACATGTGTGTATATATATATATTTATAAACCACCATGCAAAACCCACATTTTTGCGGGTGAACTCTGAAGAAAAACCACCGTCCCAGGCCTGGCATCTCTTCGCGTCCTTCGTCTCCCACCTGCCGTGGCCACGGCACTGGAGAGCTTCGAGGCCCAGCGCCCGGCGCGACGCTTCGGGCTGCCGAAGCAGCAGCTGGACCTGGGGTATCTTGGAGCGAGTCACTGGAGGGTGCTACCTTCATATTTTGATATAGATATAATATATAGATATAGTTAAAGAATATAGATATCAGATTTTAGATATGATATCAGATTTAAAATTGATCTTAGAATATTTTAGATGGGTTGATAATGGATTTCAAAAAATGCTAAATAAATATATTGTAGATGGATTTAGAATGGGACCCCCGCTTAATTAGAACTAATTAGAGATGTTAAGGGTTTGGTGTTGGTCATGGTTTGACGTTAATTCTTGGTGTTGACTCCATCGCATCTTTGTGTTGATAATATTATTTTTCATGTAGGAAAAATAACGTGGATGTGCCATTTACGTCAACAATGTGGTGGCACTAATATGCACGCCAAAACCACATGGCTTGGTTTGGAGGTCCTTTATCTTTTTCAACCCCATACTTTCAAGGCTCACGGGCCTGTACCTTCTCTTAGTGCACTTCTTGCTCTTCAAGCTGCTGGGGAAGCTGCTGCGTTGCCTGTGCCGTTGCTGCTGTTGCGGCCGCTCCCGGCCGGCGCCCGCGCAGCCGGCACCCACGCAGCCGGCACCCACGCAGCCGGCAGTGCGGCCGCCGGCTAAGGGCATGCGCAACCGCTCCCCGAGCCCCACCCCCGAGGGGCCATCGCCCGAGGTGTCACCCAAGTCCTCGCCCTCACCCAAGAAGTCACCCAAGAGGTCGCCGAAAAGGTCACCCAAGGGATCGCCGCGGTGAGGAAAAAGATAAAGTTTAGGGTTTTGTTTGCTATTGTTTGCTGTGAGGGGGCCACAACTTTGAAGATGCCATTTGAAGAGAGTTGCGTGTTGGTTGTTCCACTTGCAAAACTACGCTGCGAAGTTGATAGTCATGAGTTATAAGCTCACTCACCTCCTTTGGTTTTGCTTTGAGAAATGATGTTCAACACATTTCAAGACACCTCCTGCAAAATGTTGCAACCAAAAAAGTGCTTCACAGCCGTTGCTGCAGCCAAAAGGCGTTCGGCTGGTGGAAGTTTGCACGGCTGGGGAGTCTGACAGAAAATTGGAAGCTAGAATATTTTCGAATGAACCGCCCAAGGAACCTGTCTATAAACGAAACCTTTATTCATTTTGAAGTGCCATAAATCCCATGTCAAATCTTGTGGGTGTCATGGGGGCGGCCGAGCTAGGAATGCTCGGGCTTGATTCCAGGAGTTGGAAAGAATTCTGATGGGGACGCTCTCCTGAGGACAAAAAACAACTTATGCAGAAGTAGATATGCGCTGTGACCTGTAAAGACTATTCAACGGCTGGTGGGAATAATTTTACAGCAGTAGGCAGATGGCTTTGATTTTCGTGCGTCTTGTTTGGGTTGGCCCTTCCCATTCTGTGGGGTGCTAACGGTAATTTCCTTCCATGGGTCATGAGTCATGGTTTATGGATCTCCAACTGCCAATGAGTCTCTGATCGGACTTCAGCGGAGAAAAACACCCAACATGTCCATTTCATATCGGAATTGTGGCTCAAGAACCTGGAAGCACCATGATTGACAACACCTAAGCAGTGAGCAATCAATATAATGGATGGCCCAGCCAATGGTATCCTGGTACTTCAAAAAAAAGGAGGGTTAGCAATTGCAGATGAAGCTTGATGGTAGACTTACCCAGCCCCTCACTTTCTTATTCCCATTTCCAAGACACAGAGAGAGAGAGAGAGACATACACACACACACAAATTGTACACACACACACATATCATACATGTACACACGCACACACACACATATATATATATATATACATACAAAATTATACATATACATTATAAATAAACAAATAAATAAATACATAAATAAATACATAAATAAATAAATAGATAAATACATAAATAGATAAATAAATTAAATAGATAAATGAATAATATATATATATACACATATATATATATATCATATCATCATAGAAGTCATGGTTTCCCACATTTTGCATGACAAACAGGTGATTCTCGTCATTTCTTGGCCTTTGCTATCATGCTGGCGGAAGAGGTGACGAGTTGCCTGCCAGGGGCTAAACTGGCAGCGGTCACACGTGAGGCTTCCACGGGTACAATCTACGGAGTCCCTTGGTGCCTGTTTGGTGAGTTGGGAGACTTGGGGTTCGAGGGAAGTTCCCAGCATTCAAAATTTACTGTATATGTCGTTCGGGTTTTTTCAGTACGTATCTGTTGACCGCGCTCAAACCGCTGGGTGCCGTTGGTGCTTGCAGCCCGCTTGCGGCCCATTGCGCAGCCAAGGTGGTGTACCGTGAAGGCAGAGTGAGCATGGGCTTCGACAAGAAACGCGTCCGAGCTTGGCTCCTGGGTTTGTCTGAAACGGGGCATGGAAGCTTCTACTGGAATGCAGCTTGGCAATGCAATGGTTGTCATGAAAGATCTTGAAGGGCTTCCGGTTCATTGTTGATATTGTTGCTTGGATGAAGCAAGCAGTAGGATTGCAGCAGGCTGTCCCCTGTTCCCAAGGATTTCGTTCCAGCCTGCAAATACTGTGAAAAGGCGCTTTGGCCTGCGGGGGTGGGCCAGTGTCCAGCGTGTCAGGGTCTGAAAGGGCCCGGGCAATGCTTTCAATTTTCTTGTGGAGACCCAGACTCTTTCGAACCTGAATGCGATAATTTTCCGGAGGAAGCTCCTCAGGCGTATTGTGGCAGTCATCCTTTCTTTCAGGGCTGCCGGCTCCCAGATCAAATGGTTGGCGATGCGGGTCCAGCACTGTGGGAGGAGGAGGTTGAAGGTGACGATAATTTTAGTGTCCCCATGGCAGCCACGTGCGGCGCGGGCTGCTCGGAGGTCTTCGTGTTTCAAGGCTACAGATATCGTCAGGACTGAGCTCGTTTGTTTTCGTGTTGTGCCCAGTCTCATGTAGGTGACGTTCCACATCAAGTGCCGCGCAGTGAGGAGACCCACACGAGACTTTTTGCCCTCAACGCGAATGGTCCGGCAATCATCTCTTCATACCAAGTGCCTCAAGCTCGCGGGCCCTACACTTTTGTGAGTTTTTTGGAGGACGCTTAGCCGGTATCTAGATTCTAGATGTGAAGTGCATCTCCCTTGCGTCAAATATCATCCTGTTGCCTTTGCCATAGTTGACCGCAGATGAGGATTTGCCTCACCTCTTCACTCTGGTACAGGGGTACAATGCTGCGATACAAATCTGGAGATACGTACGGGGACACCGACATACCTTTCGCATTGACAACGCGGTTTCTCGCTGCAATCAGATTTCTTGTTTCGGTGGTCGGTCACGTTAAACTGATGGCAAGCCAAACCACGGGCCTGAACTAATTAAGAGCGGCCCTGTTGTCATGTGTGGTTGTGGGATGTTGCGGGCAAGATGCATGAAAATTGAAGGCTTCAAACTGAAAGGCATGAGTCAAACGCACCCTCCTAAACCTCCGCATAGGAGTTTTTTGTCAGAGATGTGCACGACACACTGTAAAGCGATAGGCCCCCAAAAAGCGAAAACCTGGGACCATACACGACAGTCCATAAAATTTGGCGTAAACCAAGCAAATACTGTTATGCACATTCACAGAATGGGCAAAACTGATGAGAGAAATCAACCTGTCGTGCCCTGTTTCCTGCACTTACCATATCATTTGGCATCGAACTCGCTCGCTCGCTCGCTCTCTGTCTTTCTTTCTTTGTTTCTTTCTTTCTTTCTTTTTTTGCTCTCTCTCTCTCTCTCTCACTCTGTCGTTTTTGTGGCAATTTTCCTTCGAACAATGTCATATGTTCGAAGGGTTATTTAGCGATAACCTTAGCGATAACGTAGCGATAACCATTTGTTGCGCTCGGTCCCCTGGCCAAGCCATAGAGCCATTTCCACAACTTTAGAAGAGAAATGCAAGGACATGAATGCAAAATGAAAGGAAAGTGCATGCAAATGAAAGGAAGATGAAAGGACATGAATGCACATTGGAATGAAAATGAAAGGAATATGAAAAGAAAATGAAGGGAAATGAATACACATGAAAGGAACATGAAAGGAAAATGAAGGCAAATGAATACACATGAAAGGAACATGAAAGGAAAATGACAGGAAATGAATGCAAAATGAAAGGGACATGCATGCAAATTAAAGGACAATGAAGGAAAATGCATGCAAAATGAAAGGAACATGAAGTGTTGCCGAAGCACCTGAAACCAACAAAACAACTCTTCGACCCTTTTCCGAGCCTTTTTAGGAATGGATTTTGGCTTCATGTTGGATCTCGAATATGCTGATTTCCACAAAACCCTGGAAAGCGATAGGGCCTCCCCCAAAAGCGAGAACCATAACTAACAATAGCAACTACTCAGATGTAAAGGATTTTGACGGGAGCTCTAACATAGATATTTCTTTACTTGTATATCCAGATAATTCCAGATCCATGTATCTACGTATATGCATGATTACATCCTTCTATATCATCTCGCTTTTCACATCTACTTAGACACATGATCCCGCTTGAAAACAATGTTTTTGCTTATTTCACCAGATTTCAGGTCGTCAATTTCCCTGAGCAACAGCGATTTGGGGAGCAAGTTGTCTACCTTCGCGCCCTGGTGTTTATGTAAATCAACGCATTTTGATGGCTTGTAGCCACCACCATGGCAATGGAGGGCTACCAAGATGTTGGGTTGGCTCAGTGAACACCTGCAATACAGGATCGACTTTTTTTTTGCCGAAGCCGTAGGCCCATCTGGTTCTGAGCTATGGTAGTGACTTCGAGTGCAGCCCTTCCCATTTTTTCCCATGACTTTGGCAGAAAAGTTGCCGTTGTGAGGCTGGGGCGTGAGGGGCGTGTCAAGCTGCGTAGTGGCATTGTCAAAGCACAGCATATGGGCCCTGGATGTGCCTCAAGATTTGGCCAACGCCACAGCAGCGGACTTGGCAAACAAGGCTCGGCCGGTGTGGGAGTTGAACCAACCCGACAGCATGGCCGTTGAACCATACCCTCAAGGCTTGCCATTTATGTGTACACAAATGCATACATATATACACACACACATACATACATACATATATGTATCTACCTATATATCAGTAATAATAATAACAATTAGGATTTTCAATGCATTCTAGTATGGATAGCATATGGTCAGTTGAATTTGGATGGACTCGGCATTGCTTCATGAAACCCTTTGCAACCTGCGGGAGCTCTGTGCTCCCATCTGCCAGGTTTCGTGGCGGAAGGTGATGGATCTTCCACTGGAGAACCAAGAGGCCAAGAAGGATAAGGGCGAGGATGAGGATTCGGACGACGAAGACCCTGAGGAGCTTCCGCCAAGGCTTTTGTCTGCTGGCCCCAAGGGCAACCAAGTCATGATTTTCAAGACACAAGGATCAGAAGGCCACTGGGCTTACTGTATATGAACTGAATGGAGGGTAAATTGTGATCAACAAGATTTGGCAGGTAGTTGCGTTACAGATGCACCACATACCATATCAGGTATGATATGGTCTGGAAAGTGCACCAAACATTGCGTAGCGATAGGCCGCCGCCAAAAAGCGATACTTACCTTTAATTGTATATCATGTCCACGTTTGAAGCTGATTTGCACAAAGTTGCGTACATGCAAGAGGTGAAATCACGAAAGCTAGCGTCAGCTAGCTGGAGTCTTCTTGCTTTAGCAAGTATTCCGGGGGCTGCTCAAGGACATCACGCGATTTTTCACGCGAACGGGGGGGGACCCCCCCCCTGTTTTTGTTTCGACCTAATACCTACAGAGGTACATGCATGAGTATTGAGCACATTTATATGCGCCCTTCAAGGCTCAAGAGGTATATAGAGTAACCCTGTAGACATAGCACTGACCGGCAACAGGCTGAGTAAAAGAGTGCTGTCATTGGGGAAGACGCCTTAGCTGATCTTGAAGTAGACGCTAGGGCCCCTCTTCAAGTGGTAGCGGAGCAGTGATCCCTCATTGAGGGTGAGCTCCAGGTAGAGCCCAAGCAATGGCACGCCATGGCTACGATGATGATGACTTCGACATTGTCGATGCAGATGAATGGAACCAATATGACTCTTATGCAATGAGAAGAGCACCCCAGCAGACACAGATTCACATGACGCAACAAATGACCACAAAGGTAGCTCCAGCATATGATGGGAGAACTAGTTTCTTTGCTTTTGAGGATGCAATTGATGACTGGTGTAACATCACGGAGTTAGAACCTGAGAAACGTGGTCCAGCATTGCGCAATAGACTGGAAGGAGATGCCCAACAATACAAGAGACTACTGGATAGAGATTTGCTCAGGGATCCCTATGAAGGAGTGGCTTATTTCAAAAGATTTCTATGACCTCATTTCATCAAAGGTGCCCAAAACGTGTTCTTATACCGTTTCATGCAGTTCATGAAGTTCAACAGAGGAACAATGGATCTTCAGAAGTGGATGACTAGATTTCAACTCACTGGAAATAGACTTATTGAGTCTTGGATGGATTTACTTCCAGAAGTAACAGTGACTAGTCCTGAAGCAATCCTGTTTGTTCAGCAAAAACGTCAAGAACATGAACGAGATCAACAAGAGAGAGCTGAAGTAGCAGCAGCCTCAGGAGCAGCTCCACATGTAGTTGTTCCTTGGTCAGATGAACTGGCACTAGCGGCATTCAGACAATATCAGGAAAATCGTAGACAAGTACAGAGACAAGCATTCCCACTGGGTGAAAACTTGCTAGCATTGATTTTTGTAAGTCTAGCAGACCTGACACAGGATCAGAGAAACACACTCACAAGTATCATGACACATCGTGGACGAAGCCTCGATCAATACAACATTCAAGAACTACGTGATCTGTTTTTGGAAATGTTTTGCACTACCAAAACAGCAGTTGACAATCCATTGATGCAACCCTCTGGCATGGCACAGAGAAGATCTTTCCTCGTACTGGATGAAGGTGATTTAGAAGGAACCGACGGCTATTGGGCCGAAGATGATGAAGACGGCGCAGAAGGATTCCTGGATGCTTTAGAAGATGTTTTCTGGGTATATGATGACGCTGACTACACATGGTATCAGAGAAGGTTCCAAGGCAAACACATCAGACGAGGCAAAGGTAAAGGAAAGAGAAAAGGAAAAGGAAAAGGCAGAGGAGGACGAAGGTTCTTCAGATCAAGGAAAGGAAAAGGCCGAGGAAAAGGAAGAAGGAAAGGCCGTGCTCACATGGTGAGTGAAGAAGGTTATGAAGAAGATTGGCAAGAAGAAGAATGGAATGAAAACTATGACGGCTATTGGGCCGATGATCAAACCTGGAATGAAGGCTATTGGGCCTATGATGATCTGTACTACATGGATGAGTATGGATACTTCCAGAGGAAAGGAAAAGGAAAAGGAAAAGGAAAGAAAGGTAAGAAAGGCAAGGATGATGATGGCAAAGGAGGAAAGCCAGGAGATGGAAAGGGCAAGTCGAACTATGTTCAACCTCAATCCACATCAAGTCCTGCCATACAGAATCAACAAACTCAACAAGCTCATTATTCTTCTGTTGCATCAAGTTCTGGTCATGGTTTCTTTTCATTTGGAAGAACTGAACCATTACGTGTTGATGTTGGAGAGACAGAGCCAGCACGTGTTGATGTTTTGACATCCACGTATGAACAACAAGAAGTACAACGACGCACTCGTCGTGGAGGACAGCATCAGTCGTGGAGGACAGAACCAACGTGATGCAACAGCACATCAAAACAGGAGAGAAATGAAGAGATTCCCTGTTCTGGTTGGAGAAGTTGATGCCCTTCGACAAGGTGTACGACGACGTCCAGCTCGAGTGCCCAGGCAAGTTGGTCTTCAAGAAGCTGAGGCTTCATGGAAGCCATTGGCAAAAGGCACAGCATTGTTATCATATGGATGCTCTACAGAGATAGAGGTACCATCACAGCAGAGTGCTTTTTCATTTCATACTGTACAGACTGATCTGGCATGTGAGAAAGGACTAGCTTTTCACACAGAGAATTCGGCACCACCAACTGTATGTATCCTGGATCTTGGATGCACAAGAGCTATGTGCTCTCGACGAGCAGTTGAAGCATTTTGCAGATATGTTGACTCACATCCCAACAGTGGACTCTGGTATGAAATTCAGCCAACAAGTTCAAGATTCTTCTTTGCTAATTCACAACAATCCAAATGTACTGAGAAGCTTGTGATATTCATGTATGATCATGGATGGAACACTCAGTTCACAGAATTCGACATTGTCGAAGAAGGTGATGTCCCATTGTTGATGTCACTTCCACAGATGAGAAACCTTGGATTTCAATTTGAACTTACTCCAGAGAAGGCTTATTTGTCCTGTGCACGTATTGGCATGAGAAAAATGGTCTTGAGGACAGCCATCAGTACTCATCTCATTCTCGACCTACAAGATGTAGCATGGTACATGAGCCAAGTTCATTTCAAGACTCCTCAAGTCAAGAGTTTCTTCTCACAACACGATCACTTTGAGTATAGCCAGATTGCTGTCAAACAAGATGTTCATGAAGAAGAAGCTTTGGTGACTGGTGACTATTGGCAAGTTGATCCATTACGTCGTGAACTCATCAGGCACCACAAGGATAAGAGAATGAACTTACATGAGATGAATCGATCAGAGAAAACTCCAATTCCAAAAGATCAACTTCTGGAGGAGAGAGAGACACACATGGAATTCCAGAAGAGCAAGAAGAAGGTTCTTCACAAGGACAACTGGCGCACAGAGAGGAAGAGGTTTTCTGAACAGAGTGAAGAGTTTTGGAAGGGCAAGACCATCTACAAGACCAAGGAGGACTACGTGATCCCAGAGGACATTGTCAGAAGTGACATTGATCGTGCAAAGCCCTTTCGTGGAAACATTGATGATCTTTTTCACCCTGAGTCAGCCTCTTCAGCGCCATCAGGTGTACAGAAGAAGAAGCCAAGCTCCTTAAAGAAGGAGGAAGGCAACCCGATTTCAAAAGGACCAAGCTCGAAAAGGATTGAGGTAGGTCCACCTGCAGCCAAGAGACACGTAGGTAAGCAGAAACCTCAAGTTGTCGATGACTCACAATCAGGTTCATCAAGAAAGAAGGTTGTTGTCTCCTATCCCAAGCTTGATGAGGAAGATGAACTTGACATAAGAGCTAGGGAGTTAGGTTTGGACAAGATTGATTCCGATGAACCTCAAGTCATTGAACCAAAACCTTCTGCACCTGCGCGCAACCGTGGTAAGCAAGATTCAGAAAGTCAAGTTGAGAAACTAGGTAGTGATGCTCTTGAGCCTAGGCGAGTTTCAATTCCACTGCCTGGTAGTGAAGTGCAAGCCATGACACCAGCATACAGAAAGATGCTCAGGAAACTGGAGGATAGTGTGGAACTTTACAAACTTCACATCAAACACTATCACATGTCTCCTACTCAATTCAGACGAAGGACTTCCATGTTAGGACTTCCTGACTCTGTTTATGAGAAGTATGAAGAAATGTATAACAAGTGTCGTGTGTGTAGTACTTCAATTGCACCACCGCCGAGAGCCAGGATTTCAGGCATACGATCCACCAACTTTGGAGATGTTATCTTTGTTGATCATGCTGAAATTCAGTTGAGGAAGAACAAGTACATGGTGTTGCTTGTTCTTGATGGTGCAACCAACTTACTTTGGGCTACGGCACAAAACTCACTGAACAACAAGGAGACCATTCAGGCTCTAAGGTTGTGGACTGATGAACATAATTGTATGCCGAAAGCCATCGTAGGTGATGAAGCATTCTTCCAAGAAGACTTTCTGACTTATTACCGAACTCATGGTATCAAGGAATGTCCCTGTGGTTCAAGAACCCCATGGCCTAACAGAGCTGAATCAGCTGTCAGACTTTTCAAACGACAATGGCAAATCATGTCCAAGAACCTTGAAGATGATAGGTTCAAGGGAATTACCATCAGAGAAGCTGTGAAGCGTACTGTTTGGGCCAGAAACACTCAACTCACTGTTAGTGGTTATTCTCCTTTGGAAATTGCCACTGGTAGACGACCACCAGATCTTCTGGACATTGAGACTTCTGATCCTGCTCAACTTAGTGTTGATCCTTTACCTGAAGACAAAACACAACTCGAGTTGCAAAGGTTAGCACTGAGGGCACATCAGGAAGCCAGACAAGCTGCTGACCTCAGACATGACATGGCCAAACGAACAATGCCATCAGATGGACCTTACAAACCAGGTGACAAGGTTTTCGTTTGGAGTTCCCCTGTCAATGCTAATGCTATTGCTTCAAAGGCATGGAAGAAGGAAAGATGGATCAGAGGTACTGTTATCTCTCAAGAAGGTGCTATGGTCAATGTTCATGTTGACAACGCAGTCATGCGTGTTAATCAATCGAAGGTGAGACGTGA